CAAAAACGAGGAAAAAACTTTGATAAGAGTCGGAAAAAGGGAATTTCTTGAGAATTTCTTCAACATTCATTCATTTTCATTATGGATTCTTTCCCATTCTCAACATTACCTTCATCTTTGAAAGATTCAATTTTCAATTGTTTCACAATCAAACAATCAATACAAATGTTACAAGTCTCAAGAGAATTTCGCTCGAAATTTCTCAAAATTGGTTTATTCGGTGGGAAATTGCAAGAATTGCATGTCAGGTTGAATTTTTTCGAGGGTGAGGAAGGAATTGATGAGCAATTTTGGGTGTTTATCGTTGATTCTGAAACTAATTTCCTGTTCACCACTAAAGACAAAAATTGGTGTAAAGAAACGATTTTCGAGGGATATCCAAATACGATTTTGATTCCAGAGCAATTTTCTTGTGAAGGATTCGAAAAGATTCGCTCTTGTCGCAAAGTTTTCTACAAAATTAATGGGATTTTAGGGACAAATGAGATTAGTAAATCTTTCAAGAATCTAAAAAATGCAGAATCGCTATCTTTGGCGAACAATATTTCAATGGGAAAAGAAATTTTCCCTTTTTTGAGCGTTTCCGAATTGAGTGCTGGTAGAAGAATATTTCTCGTAGAACCAAATGTTGAGAATTTGGCTCAATTTTCAAAAATGAACTTGCTGGAGCTTTTGTTTATCGATTGTGGAAAATGGGATTCATTCAGGAATATTTTAAGATATTTCTTGGACAATTTTAAGCAACCCAACAAAATGACAGTAGCTTTATATGGAGAAAAGCCGAAAGATTTCGGCTACGCACCGAATTTGAAACAAATCAAGAAAATTTTTATGAAAACGAGAAACGTGGAACTTTTGGAGAACTCTTATGAATCGGATGAAGCGGTGAAATATTTGATGGAAAAATGCGAGACCGGGGAGAAAGATGATCATTTCGGGCGATTGCCAATAAGAAATCTTGTGGATAATAAATTTTTCAAAAAACGGATTGGGGATGGCTGTAATTTAGTTTATTTGGTGTATGAGCTTTCAAATTCTTCGTATTTTATTGCATTCTCGAATTCCTCTTTGTTTGAATAAAGTTTTGAATCAAGTTATTGTAATGGACATTACACTGTAATGAGGAAAAGGGGCATATCGTTTCTCGTTTCTTTTTCAGTTTTATCGACTCTCTTTAATTGAGACATCACGATGAACACATTCAAATTTTGCCGTAAAAACAAAAAAGCAAAAGATAACCAGTAGCTTATGTTATTGCGTTTTTTAAAAGTTGCCGTAATCAACCAAATTTCAATCAAACTAAACAATTAAAATTCAGAGCGACTGCAAATTTGATTCAATCAATTTGACTACTATTACTCAACATAAGCCAAAAAAATAAAGTTTCACTAATAAAGAAGTTATTGCTCATTTGTTTTTAAACGTTTTTTCTGCTCACTTTCATAATCATGCCAAACATATGAATCAAGGATTAAAGTTAACAAAGCAAATTCTTTGATTTAAATCGTGTTGATGTGTCCCTTTTGAATTGAATTGAAGCTAGTTCATGCATTTTTCTGATAGAATTCCATTTCCCTGACAGCTAAACTATACAAACTTTTCTAGGAATGAGCTGAAGAATGAAAGAGTGAACTGGAGAATTCTTGAGTCTAAATGTCCATAATCAAATTGTGAAACTGAAGTGTTTTTTCTGAATTCGCTTGTTAATGGTGTACTTTTTAGCCAACAAATCTTTTCACAAACTTTTTCAATGAAAGCAAGAGCTTTATATCCAAAATTGGATATAAACAGGAAAAAGCAAATGGTGAAATGAAAAGAGGCCAATGTAGACAGAGATAATAATGCCCCAGAGCTGAACTTTCTATCAAAATAACAAAAAGTATCATCAATGATCATTCAAATTTTCATATAAAAGCTGTCTCCCTTTCGAAGTTCCCGCAAGCTTTAAGTATTCAATTGAAATATGATTTCCTTTCTGAATTTTCTAATCTTTTCAATCATTCCACTTATCGATTGTAAAGGTGGTGGAATATTGGATATAGCTGGAGCTATCAAAGAAATTGTGCACAAAATGAATCAAGAATATAAAGTGATGGTTGTGAATAACTGCTCGAATTCGATTTATCTGAAATGTGCCTCAGCCGATGATGCAATTGATGGAAAAGGATCGAATAAAGATGATTGGTGGACGCTGAAGAGTGGGGAGGTAAATGGGAAAAGGTTGAGACGGGATTTGTTGATCTTATTCCCAATTTTAGTTTTACAATTAGACAATTACAATTAGAGAATATAAGCAAATGGCATAACAATATTTAAATTTTGATTTTGGTGCAGTAATGTGCTCTGCGGATACAGTAGATTTAACACCGAATACACCGAATTACACCGAATCTTGGATCTTGAATAAAAATATAGAACGAGATTCAGATTTCGAGATTAGAATGAGATTCACAACTACTAAAGAAATTGCAGGCATTGGCTTGGGGTTTCGCGATGAATTGGGAAAGCACAACATGTTTTTGGTGCTACTGGAATAATAATGGACATCACGCAAGGAAAACCGGCAATTGGTACATTCATCAGAATGTCTGGGGATATGCAGAGTGAGTGTTTGAAGAAATTTTGACAAGCACTCTTGATTTAGCCAGGGTTGTGAAGGAGCCCCCGCTCGAATCCATCTAAATCACGGCGTCACTGAATGGCAAGTCAGAAATACTGGAGCTTATTCGAATATGTGTGAGGATTGCAATGGTGGGGCAAAATATGAGAGATACGCGTCTTGGGGACCAGCTCCATAAAGAAGATTTTAATCAGTAAAAAAGTTTCACTCGTAAACTTTTCAATAAATTTCTGAAATTCTGACATTTCTGACAAATAGTTCACTGTATTACAATGCTGATGCAAAAACTCAAATAATTCATTCGCCATTGGAAAAGAAGTATCGAAACATTCTGTCAATACATGTCGATTCAACTCTTACCTCTTGATTCCAAGAACACCAGTTTAGGTAACGCGATCAAAAATACCAAAAAAAAAAAACTAGAATAAATAGTAATCAAAAGGGGCGAGGTCCGGACTGTATGCGGGATGCGCCAAAGTTCCCAACCAAGGCTGCTTATTTTAGAGCGAGTCAGTTTTGCAACATGAGGGCGCGCGTTGTCGTGAAGGAGAACGATCTTTGGCTTGGAGGGCCTATTCTTCTTCAGGGATTCATTCACCTTTCCCAACTGTTCACTGTATTTGATTGCATTAACGGTCGTCTTGCTATCCAGCAACTTCCAGTACACCACTCCCTCCATATCCCAGAAAACGCAGAGCATAAACTTCTTCTGGTGCAAATCGGGCTTGGGGTCACTTTCGGGTTTCTCACCTGGCCCCACCCATTGCCGCTTCCTCCGAAATTTCAAAGATAAAACCCATTTCTCATCTCCTGTCACAGAAAGGATTTCCTTTCGTATCGTGAGAGATGAGCGGCACTGATGGAGGCGTGCTGCCACGTCTGGGGGTTATTGAGGTCATGGGGCACCCAAGCCCCAAACTTTGATTTAAATCCAAGGGTATGAAGGTGTCTTAGCACTGTAACATGATCAACCTCTAACTCTTCTCCCAATTCACGCGATGATACCCGATGGTCGTTGGTAATGAGTTCGAGTAATTTGGAATCATCCAGTTGGGGTGCCGCTCAACGACCCTCTGCATCTTTCAAAGATTTGTCCCCAGATCGAAACTAGGCAAACCATACTCGACACGTTTTTTCGGAAAGTGAGTTCTCCCCATATATCTTTTTAATATTAGCAGCTGTGCAGCAGCAGCACTGTGATCTTGTAGGAACTCATGAAGCATGACATGACGAAGATGTCCCGGTGGCGGATTGTCGAGTGCAATAGAAGAAGTGAAGAAAAAGACAAAAAATAAAAAGCTGGAAGCATAAGTTTTTTGCAATAATTTGAGAAAATGTTGAAGTAACCAAACCCCCTTTCAGCTGGTTCAATGCTATTGTTTTTTTTATCTGCGAGTCCCGCGAAATAGCCGGCAGTTTTCAATTCACCAACCCAATAAGTTGTTGCATATGAAACTTTCGCGACTTTATCATGCCTTTGCTTTGGAAAATAACGGAGAATACATTGCTGATTGATTATGTGAATGTAAATAAAAAGATTCTAACTAGTTTTAGTATTTTAAACCGACAAAAAAAGCTGTTTATTCTCTGGGCTCAGGCTGATCGACGACGCCGGTTCAGTTACGCAACTTTGAGGTTATTTTGAATCTTGAATTTCTCAGCTGTTTTACGATCGAATTCTCTAAATTTTTGATATAAGTAAATGCTAATAAAATAATATCTAATAATGTAAACAGCAGATATCTTCATGGCGAAACACGGATTTCACGGGCGTACAAATGTCGTTACTATTCCAGCTGGTCGTTCTTAGCCGATTCACCACAGAAAGGGCCCATATTTTAATGTTAATATCTCTCATGTGTCTATTATATAATTGTAAAAAATGAAAGAAATCCATGGTAAAATGAGAAAGTTGAGGCATGGTAAAGTCACTGAAATCTCATATGCAACAACCAAATACCTATTACAAAATTTCGCTTTCATCTTGGCCAAATGGATCGCAAAATGAATTTAATCAAGCAGTTCTGATAAAAAAGATTGTAAAAATGAACCAATCACAAATCAAGTGCCAAATTTATTCTCAATAATAATCAGACATATAGAAAGTCGGGCAAAATAACAGATCAATTGTCAAGGAACTTATGTCAAGGAATTTAAGGTTAAAGATATAAGCGATTCATTCTTCTAGCCATGGATTTTTGCCGTCTTTCTTTCCGTGGAACTTTTTGCTTCTTCAGTTTTTCTAAGTAAAGCCGGTCAAGATGCTCTGGCCATTCAATTGTTTCCATGAATTCTTCCATACTCGGCTCCTCGTTACTCAGCATTTGATATGCTCTTCCAAAAGCATAAAGTGTCTTCTTGAAAACACGATCATCTTTCAATCCACTAAAGTATTTACTTTATCATTTTTTTCAATGTATAACTTGGCCAAGTTTGGAGATCCATAAGGGTCCTTGACAAAAATGTTATCCTTGTTTCTCTTGCCCCTTAATTTTGAATCGTTTTCAAAGCTACATTGGAATTTTTCACCTTTTCATAAACAAATCCTCATCCATTGTGATCTTTTCGGTTCTCCAAGAGAAATTGCTATAATATTTGAAAAAACCGATCAACAAATCGACAACAGACGACTCATTTTTTGAACCTGAAAGGAATTGTGTAAAAGAAATTTAAAAGCAGTACGGTTTTGTAAAATTCGGGATGTCAATTGATCCTCCTTTCTGTTCCCAAACTTGATCTCTTCCAAATCGCGTCCGAGACGAAACTGAATCTCGAAATTGGTAATGAACTTAGAATTTCACAACCTCATCGGGATACAGCTCTGAAGATTTGGCAATACGGGTGGACTCGCTCCTTTTTGCAAATAGTGAACCAGCATCACCAAGTAGGAAATGCTGAAGAAGTTTAATTGCGATTTAAAGCTTGATTAGATGCAAGGTGGGTACTACAAGTTTTCAAGGTCTTTAAAAATCTAACCCATTCATTCCTCCATTATCGCTTCCATATATTTTGTTCTTCTCAGCCCAGCTCTTAATTAGCAATCCAAGTTTGGCAAAACGAGAATCGATTCTAGAACTTAAATTGCAGATGAAATTTGCTGAGCAAACTTTGCATATTGGCGAAAAAGATATGACGCAATTATGCCATTGTTGGATGTTCCATTTAGATCAACTTCGAGATTCTTATACTTATCGCCAAAGATTATGTTAATGATTGGAACCTGAAAATCAAATAGTGTTTGTAGATTTGCAAGGAATACCGCTGCATTTCTGAGCTCCAACTCCTTGAAATCACTCCCGAATTCCTTTGTCAGTTGGGCTTTCATAAGCTCGAGAAAACTAAAGAAGTCATTATCCAATTTTATATGATATGGTGCGCTTAAATTAGTTTAGATATTGCTAATTAGATATTGCTAAAGCAAAGTTCAAATCACAAATGGACCCGAGAATTCCATTTAGGAAGTGTTTCCGTTGTCTCCTTGTGGTGGCTTTCATGTAAATATCGATGTCCGAATCCTTTGCCCCGCAACAATTCGTCGTTGAGCCGTATGGATACAACCGAAGTTGCACATTCGGCACTGCCTGAAGTATTTTCTTATTTTCATCAATGCCATTTTATTTTTACTTCAGTAGATTTATTTAAACCAAACCCCTTTTTGAAAAAATGATTTTCCGCATAACTTACCCTTTCAATGATTTCTTCAATTCGACTCATCACCTTCATTTTAATGTCAAGTTCTTCTTGAGACTAAAATTCTTAATTCTTTTAGACAAAGCTACTTGAAAACCTGTTTGTTTTCGTTGAAGAACAGCTCAATCTGTTGGCTGAATTCTTTCTTCCATTCTTTCATTTGCTCCATAACTTGTCAAAATCTGAACGATTTTTTATTTAAAAATGTCTGGTTTCTTAAATGACAAAGTTTGATTACGTTTTGGTTCAAGTTTTTGCTGCGAAGGGGCTCATTACCAAAAGTCATCGTTGAGAGAGAGCCTAGATATTTGATATTTTTGTGTAGAAAAGCTGATTCCCTGAATTGAAATTTTAAATCTCAAAACATTTTGAAAAAATTCTAATTGAGAGTATGTCCATTTTAAATATCAGATGAAATTTAACAACGAGTTAGTCACGAAGCCAATTTTGGATTAAATTTGAGGTTTTGAAAGCATTACAATTAGAAATTGATGTGAGAAATGCAAAATAAATAGTTTCTTGAGAGGAAAACTGATTTTTATAAGGGTCGGTTAGCTTACGAGAGTTTTATTTTTTCTCGAGTTCCCGAAGCTTCCAAAAGAGGGAAAAGAGGTGGTGGGAGAGTGAGGTTTTAGAGAACAATTTTTGCTCAGGCGTTTTTTGTGATCAGTTGCAAAAAAAATTGGCCAGAAAAGCTTTTTTCTTAAAGTAAACTCGAGAAAACTAGGATTCGAACGTTTCTTTTATGGTGATTGTTTGTATAAAGTTTGATTCATTGTCAATTCAAACAAAATATTCTTTTTTCTCGTGGAAGATTAACAAAACGAGAATAGAGTTTAAAATATGAGAAAAAAACACAAATAAAACTCGTTCAGCATTTTAGAATTGGTCAGAATTCTAAAATAAAATCGAGATTTTGTCGAGAAATCGAGAAATCGAGAAATCGAGAAATTTGGCTTGAAGCGAGTAAGAGAAACTGGTGGGAAACCAAAATTTTGTAAATCCAAAGACTTAAACCAATTCGGTCAGAACTTTGGGTCGAATTAATCTCGAAAAATTTCTTGGATTTTTGATATGAAGATGATTGAGTTAAACAATGAGCTTTTTGACATTCTCGAGCTCTTTAAAAGAACAGCTGAGGGGGGAAAAGGGGAAAAGGGGGGCTTCTGGAAACGTTCCTTTCCCCCCTTTTTGGAGGTCCAACAACTGAGAGAGTGAAAAAAGATGGAGCAATAGAGGGGGAAAAGGGGGCTTCTGGAAACGTTCCTTTCCCCCTTTTTGGAACTTACTCTCTTTGTCCTCTTTTCCTCAAATAGCGGCTTTAGACTCAAGCCCAGATCTTCTAATATACAGCAATCTCCAAAAAAGTTATCCAATAGATAAAAAAACAGTACTCCACTAATCATTGGGTAAACCAGTTTCGGTTACAATACTGTTTTACAGTGACACAAGAACTGTTTTCTTAGGGTGATGGGAATGAAACCAGTGCGCACATATCCTTCCAAAAGCAGACAAAAAGATTGCAAGCCTTAGCCTCAACACTCAGAATAAGTGTTGTATACTGTTCGAAAGCCCTGAATCTCCTCTGTAAAATAGGGCAAAAAGATTTTGAATTGGATTGATTATTGAAGACTTGAGTGACTTTTCAGTTGAAAGGTCAAAAATGACCATTTTCTGGAAAATGTGTTTTTGTTAATAACTATGCCCGGGTTTTCCGTTAGAAAATACCGCCAATTAAAGATATTTCAAAATAACATAAAAGAAAGGAAGAACTCCTTTTGTTTGGTCGTCTTCTAGAGCTAAATCTTTGTTTTTCGAAAAAGCCCAATTTTAGGCCAAAAACGGCTACTTTCAACTTTGGATTTTCATATAGAATCTATGCTGATCGTTTGAGTTTTGGTATAACTATTGAGTAATGTATATCCTTAATATACTGGAAAAATTTCAAAGCGAAAAGATCCGTGGAAGCGATAGTTGCCAGCAGGCGCAGGTACCCAGATTGAGACTCGACCTGTGGTTTCTTTTTAACACCCAAGTCCCCAATAATCAATTCAATTCAAAATCTTTTCACTATTTTGTAGAGGAGATGCAGGGCTTTCTAATAGTATACAACAATTATTGGCTAAGGCTTGCAATCTTTTTATTTTTGAAAAGATCTGTGATCGTTTCTTTCATTCTTATCACCCTAATAGCTTGCAAATTTTACTTGAATTGCTTTGTGGTCAATAAAATGCATAAAACGCATTTTAAAGCCAATTTTATTATGATATCTTTGAGATACAGTGTGCTCTTGAAAAATGAATGATTCACGAAAGCGAAGAACGATAAGAATTCTGGCTTCTAAACCAAAAAAGAGATCAGTGAATCATCGCGTGTCGTTAATCTTGAAAAAACTTTTCGTTTAGTGATAACGGTTTGAGAAAATCTTGTCGAGCCCAATTCGAAAAATAACGAAAGAAAGTTTTCGATACTTTTCAATCTTTCCCACCCCACCAAAATCATATGCAAATTTGGCTCCTGTCGGGTTTCCGGGTATTTTCAATGAGTCGCGCTTTGCAGACCTATAACTTTATCCAAAGATAATATTATGGCTAGCTTTTTATATTATTTTATAGAGGGCATTTCAGCCTTTCGAATGAGACCAATTTTATTGGATTTTTCAGTTCCATGTAAACCAGGTGACACGGCACCCGAGTTGGATCGGCCTCGTTTACTCAGAGTTGGCTTTGATTATCCTCGATTGGATTATCCAATCAAACTGTATTTAGTGTCATTCGAAAGCCTGAAATGTCCTCTATACAATAATATAAAAAGCTAGCCTTAATATTATTTCTGGATAAAGTTATCGGCCTTCAAAACACAACGACTCATTCAGAAACCTGAAAACTTTAAAAATACCCAGAAATACGACAAGTTCCGTAAATTTTGATCAGTTCAATCAATTTGAAATAAACATAAATTTGCATTTAAAAATATCTCATAAACAGAAATCATTTTTATTCTTTTCCACGGGTAGTCTGGTCGTTCGATATCCTTTATATTGTTCTTTTCACCTCTGGTACTTTTTTTAGTTTGTCCCCATCAAACCAGAGAAAAAGTTGGGGCTACGTGGGTTTTCCCTTGTTTTTTACGAATCAAAGTTATTTTATCGCTCAAATTATGCTACGTTAGGTAACGCGATCAAAAATACCAAAAAAAACTAGTTGTTATAACAAAAACATGCTTAATCGAGAGAAAAATAGCCACCAGGTGGCTGTTCTGAAATACAGGCTGTGCCATAATTTTCGCAACAAGGTATCACGCGCATCAATTCCGATAACTACCTGGCTCTTCTCTAGGATGAACTCTTGCCCCGGGGCTCGTAAACATTTTGGAAATCGCATTTGGACCTATCAGCAATATGGCGCACCGACCCACGAGTCCAAGATCCAAGAAAGTCCAAGAGTTCTGTCAAAACAACTTCCCGGACTTCATTTCTTTTTCTGAGTGCCCACCTAGCTTTCCAGGCCTCAACCCAATGGATTTTTCAGTGTGGTCGGTTCTAGAAGCCAAAGCTTGTTCAAAGCCCCAAAAAACATCGAAAACTTGAAGAAATCACTGTTGAAAGCGTGGGCAGAGCTCCATCCAGTCTCTTTGACGGCCACCGTTGACGCCTTCCCGAAACGCCTGCGACCCTGCTCAAATGCTAATGGTGGCCGATTCGAATTTGATAGCTCATTTATAATTGTTAATTTACAATAAATATTATCCAGTTAAAAATTTGTCTTTTTTGCTCTTGTCTGCCTTAAAATCAGAACTTTATCTTGTTGCGACAATTATGGCGCACCCTGTAGACTGTGATGGACATACTGAATGTGAAAATGTGCAGTGAGTGTTTTGAGATGAAATAAAAAAAGGAAGGTTGTACTGAATCAAGTAAAGCTCAGGTAAGGCTGGAGTCGGGCCTGGCTTGGCTTGGCTGCAGTTCTAGCCTAGAAAAATCTCCTAGACTCACTAGTCTTCAGGACTCACAAATCGGCCTGGACCTGATCCTGGCTCTGCATAATCGTTGACGGATGCATGAAAATGGGTAAAGAACTTTGTGAGAGCAGTGACTGACGGTAGGCCCCTCAATGTCATGAGACGATTCACGGACTTCAACTGATTCAGGATTATTTTACTAGCTTCATTGGTTCCGTCCCTGCTCATCACGCACAACAAATCGTCACATGAAGTCACTCGTTTAATCCAATGAAGATGGCGTCCGAAATCCAGCTCTAACACCTGTGAATCGGGGTGTTTATAAATGCTAGCACCATTATCCACCACGATGAGGAAATCCACGTGATCCCCAAGAATGATCGATTCATCCTTCACATAGCCCGAATAGAGTCTTTTGTTCACCATCATCAACTTTGGCACATCTCTGGGGTCGAGATGTCTGACGATCTCCTCGATCAGTTCCAACGGAAAATCCTCGATCCATATCACTCCATCTTCTCGTTTTCTCCTCTCCTTCTCCTCCAGCATTCTTCGCTTTCCCCCACGCGTTTCAACCGGCATTCTTGTGCCTGAAAATTAAAAGATATCACCAAAATTGGTCATTTTACATAGAGACGACCAGATTTGCCTGTATTTGGCCCTCCACCACTCGATGATAACAGAAAACTAGGGAAGGCCAGAGAGTAGATTTTGTTAAACTGATGTTTGCGGTCATTTTGAGACCAAAATCGTGTTAATTGGTCAATTCACAAAAAAGTTATAACAGTTTGAAGACAAAAACGACGGGGGATAAGCCTGAATCTTGAATTCGGGATTGTAAAGGACTAATTTTGAGACCGAAAATCGATTCCCCACCCCAAAATTAGTCGGAATCAAAAAAGAACAGCGGAAACGCATTACCGCAATTCGAAAAATCAAAAGTTCTGACCTACCCCTGTGAGTCCGACTTACGGGGGGAGGGGATAAGTCTTGTTAGGGTTAGAACCTTTGGTCTTTTGGTTTTGGTGAAACTATGTTTCTCATAACTTTTCCTCAAGTAGACGATTTTCCTTGATTTTTTTATACCTATTTTCACTAGTTTTGGGGTGAGGAATCGATTTCCGGTCTCAAAGAAAATCAAAGGATGGAAGCCAACGTTCTTCTAGTGTCAGGTAAAATCGCGGTCATGTAGCAAATGTAAGATTGATG